GGGCATTGCTGGCACATGATGGCATATATCACATTGGATTTTACTGGAAAAAGTGATGAAAGGAGTGAATTGCAATGAGCTGGGAAATACGTCATGCAGATATTTTAATCCTCTTTCATGCTAGGTTTAAGAAACGGCAGCATATTCACATACATAAATGCGAAGAGCTGTCTGGATTTACAGCTACCTTTGACAAGAAAGTAACTCCTTCTCTTTGTATGCAGACTTGATCCGTTTTACACTGCCTAAGCAAGACCCCTGGTGTGAGTGGGGCTCTTGTCACCATCCCATATATTATTACGTGCTCTATTTTTAGAACCTAGCATGCGAGTGTATTTGACGTCATTCCAGTGTGATTTAGCTCGGCTATGCCAATCACACTGCTCGCTATTCCCAGAGGGGTGGATGGTGGGATAGTCGGGGGCTACAGAACCAACTAAGCTGTAATTAACTGCCTCTACTCAGGGTCACAGTGGTCTTTCCACATGACAATTAGGAGTTAAAATTAGAATCGTAAGAATCTGACTCACATATTTAACCCTGTTACAGCAATGGAATAAATAGTTTTCATACAGCCATTACAATAACATGAGCCATTCAATGTTCTTTGTATGCTAAATAAAAATTGTAACCCTGCTGTGTTACATTAGAATGCTGCTGCTACAGGTACTTTGTGTGTGCTCCCTGTTCTGTAACATTGACGGGTGCACCACAATCATGAGTGAAACTGAGAGAGAGAGAACCAGCCTCTCTTGCTTCTTTGTGTATGATTTTCACTTTAGCTGACTTAGTATCCTGTGAAGAGCTCAGCTAAAAAGAGTTCACAGTAGCTAGTTTCTAAATTGTATTTTGAAAGCTAATGCCACAAAAGGTTTACTTAGCACAATGAACTTTGAAATGGAAAATGAAAGGGATCAAGTAGATGTAAGAAAAGGAGGGCAAACAGACACTGAAGGAATTGTCATGTACTCTTGTTCTCACTGTATTAGTGTAAATCTGTCCATAGTGCACACTGAGAACTTCCATAAAAATAGTTTGGTAGCATTTTATTTAAATCACCCCAGTTAAAGTTTAAATAGATCTCTGTTCCAATTGGTTTGGAAGCAATTTCCTTCTAGAAAACAGATTATTTCTCTCCATACTGTTCCAGGTAGTTTCCCATCTGAAAGTTAGAGGAAGCTGTAGCACGGCTTGTGTGCTGTTACAGTCGAGAAGAAGGCTTACAAATCAGGCTGTTTCCTTTTTAATTGCAAACTGTAAAAACAAAATGATTTTACACATCCTACTAATGGTTATAAATAGCTGCCGTTCAAAATAGCATAAGAGTGATACAAACAGCTTGCTTTAATGTGGCAGCTTGCGGGCAGGTTATAACCACAGTAAGCAAACAGGACTTGCAAAGTGGTACATTGACATCACACTAGCATCACTGGAATATTGTGCCTTAATCTATCGCTGCAGTGATAGATTTTCACAAGGTGCACACGACTATGTTCCTGTAGCAAAGACCATGTCAGGAACACTCTGCCTTGTTTATGTAGCTTTCCGCATACGCCTTTTTTTTGTTTTTTCCAGCAAGCCCCTCCCGCCATAGTATATCCGAGTGGAGGATGCAGAGCATTGCCAGAGATTCAGACGACAGCTCAGATGATGAATTCTTTGATGCACATGGTATGTGGAACCAAAATGGTGATCAGTTTTTTATCTTCTTAAATGGTGGAGTTGGGAGGGGAGCAGGCAGTGTGACCACCTGCCTTGCTTGAAACTGTATTGTTTTCTAATCAAGGGTTTTATGCAGCATTGATGCAATTCAGAGCAGCACTCAACAGACTGTTTCATTCAGCTGGGCAATATTTCAAGTTTAATGTAATCTGTCTGATTATTTTTTAACATTAAATGATCTTGAGTTCTTTTAACATATGGAACTTTGGTATTTTTTGGTGCGAATGCACCTGGGTAAAATTCTGCAATTCTCTACACAAGCTGTGGATATAACTCTCAATATTTCTTATTCAGCATGACTGAGATTGTTTGTTTACAAATAGCCAAGTGGTAAAGCTCATGACAAGTAGAGTCCTGCCTGAGTAAGAAGAGACCCTAGTCTGTCTTTAGTAATAGTCCTTATTAACAGCTTGTATGCCTGCACGAAGAAATGCAAAAGGGAGTGAAGGGAGATGTCGGAGTTCACCAGCATTGAAAGTTTTTTTTTTTTTCTGCAAGAATTCCTGAAGTGTTTTAGTGTGCTATAGCTCTCTCCACATATTTTTGTTTGCTGTCAGGACCGGCTCCAGGCACCAGCGCAGAAAGCAACGGGCCAACGGGAAGGGGTGGCACGTCCGGGTCTTCGGTGGCAATTCGGCAGCGGGTCCTTCAGTCCCTCTCGGAGGGAAGGACCTGCCGCCAAATTGCTGCTGAAGAATGAAGCGGCGGCGGTAGAGCTGCCACCGAAGTGCCGCCCATCATGGCTTTTTTTTTTCCCCCCGCTTGGGGCGTAGGGTGACCAGACAGCACGTGTGAAAAATCGGGACAATAGGTGGGGGGGTAATAGGAGCCTATATAAGAAAAAGACCCCAAAATCAGGATTGTTCCTATAAAATCGGGACATCTGGTCACCCTCTTGGGGCGGCAAAAACGCTGGAGCCGGCCCTATTTGCTATGTGTATCTAAAAGGAGGATGCTCTGCTCTACAGCAATGCTTCTCAAAGTCGGGCAGCCGCTTGTTCAGAGAAAGCCCCTGGTGGTCCGGGCCGCTTTGTTTACCTGCCAAGTCCACAGGTTCGGCTGATCGCGGCTCCCACTGGCCGCGGTTCGCCGCTCCAGGCCAGTGGGGGCTGCGGGAAGTGGCGTGAGCTGAGGGATGTGCTGGCTGCCCTTTAGCAGCAGCTTCTCTTGAACAAGCGGCAGCCCGACTTTGAGAAGCACTGCTCTACAGGACTCGTATTGTATATATTTGTTAAGCACTGACAGTGAGTTCAGCACTGGTACAAAGCATTAACTACCAAGACACCCTTCTCCAAACAGTCTCCCAATGATCATCTAACAAGCTGGTTAACCTGCACTGCTGGAGCTGGCAAATGGAGTTGCTGATACAATTTTGTAAATAGTATTTCATTCGTGATTGACCATAGCAAGTAGTACAGCTGAAGTGATTTACTTCAGAAAAGTTTTGATATCAAATATTACGAACATGCCCCACATTCTCAGGCTTTCCTTCAAATGTTTTCTTGTGGGAAGTAGCACGCTGCTATAGAGTAAGACTGCAGGTTAAGAGGCTGCTTTGAGTACAGGTTGGCTCGGGGTTGAAGCCCTAAGTGTCACTGGCTCATCAGCCAGGGCTAACTTATTTTATGTGTCTTTATTTATTAACTTATATAGTTCCTGTAACAACTGTACCTCGGGGCTTTACCATAGCAATATAAACATATGAATATAAGTGAGTCATCTAAACCAGTGGTTCTCAAACTTTTTTACTGGTGACCCCTTTCACAAAGCAAGCCTCTGAGTGCGACCCCCCCCTTATATAAAAAAGTGTTTTTAATTTATATTTAACACCATTGTAAATGCTGGAGGCAAAGCGGGGCTCAGGGTGGAGGCTGACAGTTCGCAACCCCGCATGTAATAGCCTCATGACCCCCTGAGGGGTCCCAACCCCCAGTTTGAGAACCTCTGATCTAAACAAACTCATAGCTATCCACCATGCATTTTACCTTTTAATCGCTGACTAATAGAATCTAGCGATGGACAACATCTGCTTAAATCATCTAGCTCATCTGCTGCCAATGAAAAATTCCTCCCTATTCTGCTTTGACTGCATCCTATTCAGTCTAGGTTGAAATGTGCTTAATTTGATTGTTTTTTTTCTTCACAAATCGATGTTCTCGACAATGCATATTAAGACTACTGTTTTTTTGGGTAGTGACAATCTGCTACACCCTTTATTGCAGACCAGACGGCTCTCTCATTAGACGCCAACTGCATTGGATTTGTGAATATGGAATGAGTGTTTCTTACAGTGAATACTGTAAGAGAGGCTTGCTGGGCCAGTACCATGGAAACTAAGTGTTGATTGGGGTATGAGTCAATGATGAATTCAGTTCCTCATGAGTGCTTCCCGTATACATTCAGATTTCCTTGCCGAATAGTGAGTGTAATCTGAGCCTATAAAGATTTTTATCTTGTTAGACTTTCCACATGTTCTCAGTCACTGGCATGTTCTGGTAAGGAGAGTTAAAAATACAGTAATATCTATACTGTAATAAATGATAATAACAGGAGTAATATCATATTTGGTGATCACTAAAGCAGCAGTAAGACCTATAATTAAACCTCTCAAGGAAATGAGTTCAATATTTAGATTAAGTTGCTGAAGAAGCTTTGAATTTAATCTCCCCTTTTTGTTCTCTGTCTGTTTGACACACACGATTTCTCTGGTGTATTCCCGTTGGCAGAGGTATCATGTGATGTTACCTATTTGTACATTCTCTCTGTGCAGTGAAATCAGATCAACTCAAGTTTTATGGGGGTTGGAAGAATTAAATAGTATGTCGACATGACCATTTCCAGGTCGCTATCTTTTATGGTTGAGGTGTTATTAAAAGCACTAAAAATAAACAGTCTTTGTGCAGCAGTGCATTCAACTCCCTTTATATAACTGTTAGCTGTTTATCAGATTTTCTGAAAAGAATAGTGTTTCAAAATCTTTTTGTTCCTGATCCAAAGAACCTTGCAACTAACAATCTTATTAGTAGCTGTAAAGCAACAAAAAAAGAGAGAACCCTAGCCTGTGAATCTGAAGATTATAGCTTTTACATCTTGGAGACAGCTGAAATTGCAGTCATTTTTATGTTTATAACTCAGTTAAATTTACCTCTTCAGGAAAACAAATCGCTAAGCATGGAACGATAAATACAATTAAAACACAATTAACCTTCAATGATAAATACGATTTCAAATCAGGATTACATAAAAGCTGAACAAAAGCAGTGTTTTATGTGCAGCTCTGAGGTGGTTTCTCTTCAGTGTCAGAGGGAAGAGTGCCCAGAAGTCAGAGATGGTCTGCTAGAGAATTGGCCTCTGACTGTGGGCAGTCTACAAGGAGGGGGCTTTGTTAGATGAAAGAAGAGTTTTAGAATAATGATATTGATATCGTGCCTATCATCTGACTAGCTCATTATGCTTAACAAATAATAATTTAGTGAAGGTGGAAGTTGTATGAGGCATAATGTTGCACACTCTCTGGTAACACAGATTTTAATGCTCTTCCAAGACAGATTTTCTTTGCTGCTATGTCTCTTGAGTCTGGACAAGAAATACTAATGAAGTCACTTAATAACTGTGTTTAATTAAATCTATCCCTGCAGATAGCTGTGCTTGACTGAATAATGGTGATAGCTCATAGGAAGATAATTGCTACGCCGCAAATCCAATGGTCTTTCATACATTTCCATTTGAGAATTAAAAATATTTTTAATAGAACAGATTTTGCTGGTGGGTTTTTACTAAGTCCCACTCATCAGTGTAGGAGAAACAAATATTTAATATGCTCCAGCTTCCAAGTCTCAAAACAGAAAAAAGAAAAAAATCACTTAACAACTTAACAACTTCCTGGCTAACGATCAGGCCGGTGTGTCAATAGGGGTGTTATACAGTTAAGTCTGTTTGTTTGCCATACTTGGCATTTTTCAAATGTGATTTGAAAGAATTTTTCACTTACTAAGACATGAGCTCAGAGTTCTGAGCAAACTATGATGTCATCATTACAGACATCAAACATTTATAGGAGCCTATCACCATACTGTTAGAGCGCACTTTACCCAGCTTAAAATTGCATCCAAGACCTTGTCCAGGAATTAGGAGCCATTGCACTATTCCCTCCTTTAGCTCACGTGCTTAGAATCTAGAGAACAGAGTGACACCATTGGGCAGGTCTCCACATTAAACTTTTGCCAGTACAGTAATGTTGGCAATTTTTTAACAACATGTTTGTATCGGTAAAGCCCTAGTATAGATGTAGTTATACCAGCAAAAAAATTCTTTACCTGTATAGCTTATTTCATTCAGGGGTATAAGCTATACCGGCAAAAGCACTCTTTTGCCAATATAAGCTGCGTATACTCTAGGTGAGTTTGCCAACATAGCTATCCTGGCAAATTTCTTCTAGTATAGACTAGGCCTATTGGCCGGGATTTCTAGCCCATGGTCAATATAAAGTGGAAAGCCTGTGCAAAGTGGATGTCTTGCTACTCTTCCTAAATGTGACCAGGTTCAGGCTTAGATTTATTCAAATTTATTAATGCCCAAAATAGCCTTGGGAATTAGGTTCGCTTTATTCCTTTCAGGTACTTGTGGTGTTAACAATAATGATACTTAGCACCCTTTAATCCAGAGATCTCAGAGCTAGACAAACAAGGCAGCTAAGCTTCCTAACTCCTCTGGGAGATATGTACGGCAAATGTAGGGATTGCTTCATCCACTCCTGAAATGCAGCAACTCCTGGAGTGGATCATGGTGCTTGTTTATTATTTATTATTTGTATTACTGTAGCACATAGGAGCCCTACTCATGGGCCAGGACTCCAATTGTATTACATTCCGTACAAACAGAACAAAAAAGATGGTCCCTGCGCCAAAGTGCTAACCATATTCGTATAAGACAAGAAACAACAGATGGATACAGACAGACAGGGACCACAAGGAAACAATGGGTATGACTACCCTACGGCAAAAAAAAAAAGCTACTTCAGCGAGTCTCCGAGCCTGGGTCACCTGACTTGGGCTTGCAGGGCTAAAAATAACAGTAGACATTCCGGCTCGGGCTGGTGCCCAGGCTCTGAAACCCAGTGAGGGGGAGGGTCTCAGAGCCTGGGCTCCCACCTGAGCGTCTACACCGCTGTCTTTAGCCCCACAGTGTGAGCCCCGTGAGACCAAGTCAGCTGACCGGGCTCTGAGACTTGCTGGCATGGTCTGTGTAAACATACCCAATGAGTCTGTGTCAGTCAGCATGATGGGCAGTGGTCTCGGACACCAGCCCTCATCAGGTTGTTTTTGTAGGCATCATGGCAAAGGAGAGTTTCAGTGGATGACAGTCAGTCAGTTTTGTGGATGTTTATGGGGAGCTCCTCCTGAGCTTAAGCAGCGGCGTGGGAGAAAGCACAAAGGCGCTTGTTAGAAAATGTAACTAATGGGCAATGGAGGCTAGTATCATGGGCTGATCGGAGATGAGAGTCAACATCCTGATAGTGAGAGAGGGCCATCAAGGGCCTTGAAAGTGAAGACCAGAGCTGAGGTTTGATGCAGCAGACAAGGGGGAGCCAGTGGAGGGATCCAAAGAGAAGGTTGACATGGTCAAAACAATGGGCTAAGAAAACTGTTTGCAGCAGCATTCTCAGTGGATAAGAGGGGGGCAAGATTGCGTTTGTCAAGGCCAGAGAGAAGAATGTGGCAGTATTCAAGACACGAGATGGTGAGGGCTTGTATGAGAGAGTTAGCTGTGTGGATGGATAAGAAAGTCTGTGTCTTAGAGATGTTATGCAAGAAAAATTGGCAAGATTTAGACACACCCTGGATATGAGGAGCTAGAGAGAGGTCCAAGTTGAAGATGTGCCCATTGTACAAGCATGAGTGACAGTCAGTATGATGGTGTTGTCCATAGTGACCGAGAAGGGAGATAGCAAGGATGGCTGGGGAGAGGGAGATCAGGAGCTCTGTTTTAGGCACGTTGAACTTGAGCTGGTGGCTAGACATCCACAAGGCGATGTCAGAGAGACAAGCCAAGGTTTTAGTTTGGACAGAAGGAGACAGATCTGAAGTAGTAGGGGTAAATCAGTGAGGCTGTTTAAAATCATACAGCAGTGTTTACAATATAGTTTAGGACAGAAAATGCATCAAGGAAAATACCAAAACTTGGATTCTAACAGCTAACAAGAATTTAAAGCTATTTATGCACATTTCAGAGCTATACACAGATTACTTGTATACTCTGTGGATGAACTTAAACAGCTCTTCTTTTATATTTAAAATGCATTTTGCTCTCACTGTCCTGAGAGCTGATGTCTGTATTAGATTCCAGGATTGTCACTCTCTGTGTGTTGCTCTGAAGCCTAGAAGGTCTATTGCGTCAGTGTGAACCGATGGAGACAGCTACAGGAAGGATTGAGAACACTTTTTGTTTAGAATATCACCAGGTTCAATCATCACTGGGATTTGTGATGTGTTACCATCCAATGTCTAAGTCTTCAGCCATTTTAACTTTACAAATTGTACCTGTGAGTCGTAGTACATGTATCTATGCCATGCCAAGAGTCCTAGACCATTGTGATACCAGAGGTAACTCAACCAGTGACCAGCCTTACTCTGCAGTTAATTTGTATGCGCCATTTTTATTGGTTGCATGAGGGAGACTGCACGGATGGTGGACTTTGTGGCCCAACTGCCACATCCAAGTGACAGCACGAGATTTCAGCTACTAGTTGATTATACAAACACCACGTTTAAACGTTATCTTGCCTCAAATTGCAATGAGGTTACGCAGAATTAATAAAGGTATAGTGTTATTTATAGACATGCTGTCTGTAGTGTGTGTATGTGTGTGCATACACACATCTGCACACACATGTATACAAGGGTATCATAAAAATATTTTTTCTGTCTTTAAAGAGGGCTTGTCCGATAACGAAGAGATGTTCCCAAAAGAAATCACCAAATGGAGTTCCAACGATCTCATGGATAAAATTGGAAGCTCTGAATGCGATGTACAGGGTAATTTATTTCTTTTTACTTCACACTGTACATAGCATTTTTTAGAGTCACTTAATTTAATCATCCTGACCAGCCTCTAAAGAAGATAAAATTTGTTACCCCCATTTTACAGCTGGAGAAACTGAGGCAGAGAGAAGTGACTTGCCCAAGGCCCCGGAGAGAGTCAGTGTCCAAGCAGGGGTTAGGAATAGGGAGATCTTGTCTCTCAAACTCTCTCTCTTACGTTCCATTTCAGTTTGATTTCTTACTATAACAAAAGCAATTATCTGATAAAATGATTAAATGCTCTGATGCAGTCTTAAATCACCCATACATTCCTCAGACTTTTTAACCCCTTCTTCTTCCTTGCTCCCTCTCCATACAACAGGGGTTTCTGTTAGGAGAAGGTTTAGCCTTCTCACCTGTATCCTCCTCATCTGATAACATCTTCCTCTCTAAGCCTTTTTGAAGTGCTGGAAGAAATAGACTCATCAAGTTAGACTGATTCAAGTAAATCCACGCATGCAAGAGCAGGTCAAACCCCATTCCCTTGTTAGAGTTCAAACAGCCTCTTCCGTGCTCCTGTGCAGCTGATCGTTTCTAACAGCTGTGCAAGGGTCTCTCCCACTGCCGCTCTTTAGTTGCTGGAAAAGAACCGTTCTCTCCTTGATGAAGAGACATATGGCCAAATTCAGACTGTTGTTAGCGATTTGCAATTCCATTTCCTTCAGTGGGCTCCTGTCTGCTCATACCAAATCTGAATTGGGCCCCTTTTTTAAAAATATGGGCCATGTCCTCCGTTCTACAGCTGGATATCCTTAGAAAAACCTTCATGTTAAAAAAGAGAGAACTACTAGGACATTTAATGATGGCGTAGTTCATGAGCTCTCAACTTGGGAGGTGACCAAAAAGTGTTGGGACCACACACACCCCATCGTTCCCATATTGCTAAATGGGAGAGGGAATCTGGCTAGGTGGGAGATGGATCCTGATGTGGAAAAAAATGAGAACCACTGCCACAGCCAATGCCATCATTTATATAGCTGCTGTATAAAATGGAGTCTGGCTGTACTTACATTAGAAACCTCTTTAATTCCAGATGACTTGTATCATGAAACATCAACAGAGTACCATGTTGGGTCCAGTGTGGAAAGGCTAAGCATCATCGAGGTAAGCCCTTGGATTGCATCGAATTAAAATCCCCTGTTTGTTTAAAGAATGTAGCTGGTGAAGTGATGGAGTAAATAGTGCACTTCATTGCTGCAGATGTTTTTTAAGTGACTCCTGTGGCATCTCTGTGTCATGGAGCTAGTTCATGACCAGGCTTACACAGTTACATCACTAAAGTACCTACCTATGGAATACTGTTAACCACGCATAAAAAACGACAAAGCTTGTGAATGTCAAATCATAAAGTCCCTCAGCTGAAAGAGCAAATGATGTCCCCTTGAACTAGCCTAGCAGCAAACATATTCAGCAGTAGCTGTCAATGCACTGTTCAGAACCGTTTTCCAACTCGGTTATAGAGAGAGGTCCAAATCTGAGCCCCACATATAAACAGCCATGATGTTCAGGGACGTTGTGAGCTCTTTGTGGTTCAGGCTCATCTTTCGTTGTAGCCCAAAGCGGGGCAGGGATTTTTATTCCTCCCTCTAGAGAGACATGCAAGCTCAAATCATGTTATGGACAAATCCTCCCCACCCGCCACCAAACACCCTCTAGTTTTGTTCCAAAATTAACATGCGCAGAAATGAGGTGGAAAACAAATAGAATGAGGGTGTAATAGAGTAATTCTAAAATTTCTGAATTGTTCCTTATGGGGAGGAGCCGTGTTTTTATTTTACAAGTTTAACAAGTCTTAATTATCCAAGAGTAGTTGTATTTCAAGAAACGTGTCTTGAAGTCATTTTCTAGGGCGTGATTGGATTAAAGAATCCAAATAGCCCTCTCCACCCCTTACCTTACCTTTACGAGCAGAAGTCATTGAACTTGACAGGAAAGGAGCCTACAGGCATCTTGCTGATAAGCCTCTGAGTGATTCATGGCATCTCAGAACTACACAGGGAAGAACTACACACATAAAACATTTATTACTGAAAGTAAAAGCAATACTGACCTGGTATAACAGTGCCTCCCATGCTTTTAGTCATGCACTTCCAGACAAGAATCCACTTTACAGACACAGTAGGCCAAAGTGAATGAAGGTGTAAGTGGTGGTGTAAGTTACAGAGACTAATAATAATAATTAATAATACTTAGCTCTTATACAGCATTCCATCCATAGACAAATTCTAACTAGAAATTCCATTGCTTGAAGTCTTTAAATATAGTCTGGATGTCTTTCTAAAAGATTGCATAGCTCAACCAGAAGTTATGGGCTTGGCACAGGATCTGTTGTATGAAATTCTCTGGCCTGTGTTGTACAGGAGGTCAGGCTAGATGATCAGAATGGTTCCTTCTGTCACTAAAATCTATGAATCTCAAACTCACTGAGTTGACTGAATATCACTACCCCCATGTTACAGATAGACACATCATCCATAGACCTTGGTTTCTCTGATACTGGGTAGATGTGGGGAAGAGTTTACACTGTTATTACTTGTGCTAGGAAAAATTAGGACTTGAGTTACTCTACAGAACTCTCAATCTGGCACCTTTTCATGAGCACAAAATTCATGATAAAAAATGACATTGCATTCTAAGAAAAAAAATGTTCAAAGAGCTGATGTTTGGGTTAACATAAGAAGGTTTGGAATGTTGCCTCCATTACCATACAGGGATAAAGTGTTAGGAAAAAGGATTAGAGCAGGACTCCCACAGTGTTTTTGCTAAAATTATATGATGACGCCTTAAATATATGTTGAATGTTTTGACCTGGTCAAATGCAGTGAAGGAGTCAGTGACACTAGTTATTACCTAGATTTTTAATAGTATGATACAAGTTAAAACAGATATTTTTGAACATGCTTTTGGGGTATCAGCATTACCTCTCAGGCATTTCGGGAAGAAAGAATCAAGTTTCTTTAAAGATACCCTCACTACAGGATTCCTTCTTGTGCTTGAAATAAACCATTTGTCCAGCGTTGCATATCTTGAAGTGCACCAGTTACAGTTGTATGGACAATATATGTGTTTTGTTGCTATTGGGTAGAAATTGGCCTGTCCCCTGGAGGTGCCTGTATTTCAGAGCAGTGTTGTAAGTACATTGTTAAGGGCTGTGGACTAGGAGGTGCTAAATAAACATAGTGTTGTTGGGGCAAATACCAAAGGCTTGGGGGAAACAAGTACTTCCACTATATTTTGTTTAATTTCCTTTTAGGATGAATCAGTGCACCCATCAATGCAGCCAAGCAAAATCCACGTCCTAATCTTGGTACTACATGGAGGAAACATCCTGGATACAGGAAGTGGTGACCAGAATTCAAAACAAGGAGATGTCAATACTATCACAACAGTGTTTGATACAGTAATGAGGGTACATTACCCAGCTGCTCTTGGACACATTGCACTCAAGCTAGTCCCTTGCCCAGCCATCTGCTCAGAAGCCTTTTCACTGGTATCCAAGTAAGTTTGTGCTCCTTTATCTTGGAGAGGGGCACATTTGTAAATTTTTACTCTGTTGTAGTGCATCTATAATCAACGCTATGGGGTATGCTCTGTCTTTGGGCTGGTCTACACTGGGGGGGGATCAATCCAAGATACGCAACTTCAACTACGTGAATAGCATAGCTGAAGTCCAAGTATCTTGGATTGAATTACCTGGGGTCCAGACGGCGTGGGATCGACGGCCGCAGCTCCCCCGTCGACTGCGCTACCGCTGCTCGCTCTGGTGGAGTTCCGGAGTCGACGGTGAGTGCATTCGGGGATCGATATATTGCGTCTTAATGAGACGCGATATATCGATCCCGGATAAATTGATTGCTACCCGCTGATATGGCGGGTAGTGAAGACGTACCCTTTGTTGTGGATGCCTAATATTGATGACAACTATCCACACACTTTGAGAGCGCACTTTATTAATTAACTAGCAAGCCTTCCAGCCTCAATTTCATACATGGCTGTAATGTATACAGTACAATAGCAATGCAGCTGGAGTTCTGTGATTGATTTACTCAAACTAATCAGATAAGTACTTGAACTTGAATTTACAGAGTTATTGTCCAAGGGTCATTCTGACTGTGTGTGTTCTCTGAAGATTTAGGTTTAAGGGGGAAAGAACTGTGTTTTCCCCAGCCCTAGAGCATTTCTACCAGCAAGAGAACACACAGCTTTTGTACTTTGAGATTTTTTTTTTATGATCTGAAACATTGATTGTGCTGGCTGCAAATGATGAACTCATAATGCAAGCCTCTGTCTCTTTCATCTCCTCTCCTATATTCAGCCTTAGCCCTTACAGTTATGATGAAGGATGCCTCTCCAATAGTCAGGATCACATTCCACTCGCTGCACTTCCTCTGCTAGCAACATCATCCCCACAATATCAGGAGGCAGTAGCCACGGTGATTTTGAGAGCCAATCAAGCTTACAGCGAGTTCATTAAATCACAAGAAGGCACATCATTTACTGGCCAGGTGAGTAAGCTCCTGTTTTAGAACAATAAAATGAAAAGCAGACAAGGCCATTTCCCTCTGAATCTCTTGGAAGAGTTGGAAACGTTTGACAATGCTGGGCTAATTTATGAAAATGTTTTCTTGGGCTTTTTGTTTTGTTTTTAAGATAAAGATTTTTCCCTTATTTTACACTGTTCTTATTGGAGATTAATTTTTATAAGAAGAAAATGCAAATTAGAGCTCAGAAATTTAGCTGTAAAAATGGGAAGTTTAAACAAAAGACACCATAGGTGTGATGTATCTCTCCAAATGAGGTGTAAGAAATGCTCTTTATCTGTTTTAGGTACTCCTCTGGCCCCCATTACCGTAACATCGGAGATCCTCACAATCTTTAACCTATTTATCCTCACAATGCCCCAGGAGGTAGGGCAGTGCTATTGTCCCCACTGGAGTGCTGCAGTCTCCAGACGAGGAACTGAGGCACCAAGAGGCTAAGTGACTTTGCCCAAGGTTGCACAGGAAGTTTGTGAGAAAGGAATTGAATCTGGGCCTCCTGAAACCCAGGGTGGTGCCTTAACTGCCGGACTGTCCTCTTCACCATGTATCACAAGTGCTTCTGCCTCTCCCCACCTTTTATAATCAGGGATTTCATGACCTCCCATATGGGAAGAAATTATCTCAGATCCTGCCTCAAGCCAGATCTGTTCCAGAGCTGGAAACCTTCCAAGGTACCTCACAGCCTGGTATAGAGTAACTGCTGACCCAGAACTCACCCATCTGACACATGATGGTCAATAATTCCATAATTGCTTGGGCTAGCGAGAGCTCTTAGGCAGATATCATCTGATAAAGCGGTGATGCTGATAACTACATTGAAGGATCTCATGTTCCCCATTTTCTGGGCTTAGATGCTTTATTCCTTTAGCTAGTATTTCTGTGAATTCAAAGTGAGGGGGATCATTTGGGGTTTTTTTCCCACCTCTGGTTGCTCTTTCAGGTCTGTTTGGTAGGGGACTGCGTAGGAGGAATCCTGGGATTTGATGCCTTATGTTACAGCAATCAGACTGTGTCTGAGAGCCAAAACAGCAGCCGACGAGGGAGTATTGTGAGTGTGCAGGTAATGTAGCCTACTAGAAACCAGTCAGGATAACCCTGTTGGCCACAGAACTTCCCTGTCTGCCCCTAGCTCCAGACGGAAGGGAGGGTTCCACCTTTAATCCTTCCCCATTCTACCTCCAGTCATCCCCCTGTGTCCAGGGCAGAGGCACTATGGAGGCCTGGTTAGGACTCTGTCAGTGATGCCCTAATATCAGCAATAGTCACCACTGCTAACCTGCTTGTCAAAGCAGAAGAATGTATTTTAGAAAACATGGACTGTTTCTAATTTATTTGGGGCTTTCATCAGAAAGAACAAAGCTCCGTTTTCCAGTTTCATGGAGGGTGTGTGCATACTGGGGTGTGTGCTTGTGTCCCTACTTTTGGGGTAGGCTTTGCGCAACCCTGCTGTGTTGTATTGTTTTGTATTATACGCCTGCCTAGTGGCTATAGAAATGTTGTTTTGTTTTAGGTTTGAATACCAGAAATCCCGTATGAAGCTATTTTTTTTTTTTAGTATATTTGTCAAGTGAAAATTCATTACAGACTAGGATGTTCTGAGTAATCATGCTCAGGACCATCAAACCTCCTATTCTCCCAGACGGTGAGAGTGGAGCTTCAAGTTGTTAGTGCCCTTTTTAAGCTTTTCAGTTGCACTCCGAGGTAGGTAAAGTAGAATAATTCCCGGAGTGCACTTAGATAGGGTAGGTGTGTTAGGAAATGCAGAGATTAGGTAGATTTGAACTGGAACAAATGAGGAGGCAGTGCAGTTGTTTGAAGAGGGAGGATCTAATGTGGTTGCACTTCTGACTTGCTGCCTGATGCCTGTGTACTTCAAATCCTAGGACACTGACCTCCTGTCTCCTGGAATAATTGTGAACAACAGTTATTGTTCCAGTGGCTCCAACCTGGAGGCCAGCAGACACCTCAGCAGAAGCAACATTGATATTCCTCGGAGCAACGGAGAGGATCCAAAGAAGCAGCTGCCCCGAAAAAGGAGTGATTCATCAACCTACGAAATGGACACAATAAAGCAACATCAGGCATTCCTTTCAAGGTAAGGTTTCAAAGGAACAGTGAGTCAGGAATCCCCGGGGACAAAAGAGACACCCGTGTGCAGTTTTAATGTTTTGTAACCCCGGGGATGGCAAGGTTGAGTAACGTTGTCGAAGAATATCAGAGGTGTTCAGATTCCATTGGCAAGTGTGGGCTTTACAGAGGAATTACCAGCAGCATTGTACGGTACCATGTGATTGTGGGGACAAAATTAACTATGAGCTGCTGCTGTGCTGCACCCACATTACAGTGGGGGGAAAACAGCCGCATAAGAGTAGCAAGAGGTTGGTGGGTTTTTTTTGCCATGTTACTGCAGCAGAGTAAGTATGTAACCAGTGCAGCTGACGAGACAGGAGGACTTAGAGTCAAATGTCATTTTAAGTTTAGGCAGCTATCAAAATTGATCCTGACCTGGCTGGCCTGTTGGTTGGAGAGATGGGTCCGAGCCATCTGTTATGAGCATCCCTAAACATTGGGATATTTTGAGTCTGGATATGAACGCCAACCCTGGGCCCTTCCCGGGTTCCTAGGGCCCTTTGCTGCTATTCTGGAGACACAAGTCCAGGGCAGTAGCCCTTGCTCCCAGGCCATGGGGTTTGGGATGCTCTAGGTGCAGCACTACAGTCCCCAGAATTGCTCAGCTTTGTCCAATACTGACCCTGACCCTGTTTAAGGAGCAGCATTGACTGGCTCTGAAGGGTGATTCCAAAGCCAAGCCTTCTTGCCTGGAGGTGAGTGGGAGCAGTCCAGGGCCTTGCATGTCAAGCAGGGAGATGAGGGATCCTCAGGGCTCTGCCAGAGGCACAGTGGAACCCTGGGAGAGGAAATGAGATGATCATGGATCCTAAAAGAACAGAATCCTGGGCATTAGAGATGGAAGAGACCAATTAGTTCCCATCCAGTACATCCCCAGTTAGTGCAGGAGTGTCCTCGACAGGTTACTAGACTGAGCACAGCATTAGATTTAAGTGTTGTAAGCTTTGGGTCCCCCCCATCACTTCCCTTGGCATACTGCTCCCCACTCTAACAGAGTGCTGGGAGGAAGGTTTTTGTTCTTGCTCTTCATCCTGAATTTTCCCTTTTGGGAAATCTCTTTCATAACACCCTCCTGAATCTCCCAGTGCATAGGCTCAGCCAGCGGCACCTGTTGTATATTTACTGTATTGCCAGCACAGGCAGCCAAAGTTACCTCTGCCCTGTTAACCCCCTCCTCCAAATTAATGTGTACCCTTTACTGAGCATGGAGACTGTTCAGTTACACCAAAAGTCTGTTTCAGGTTCTTACATATATTGAGGCCCTTACGTAGCGTAATACTGAACTTTTTAAATGGTTCTCGAGAAAATCACTTAATTTATTATTAATTGAATTACTTTCCTAGAGGAAGGTCCTGTTACTACTTAGATGCTGTTCAAGGAGCGTGTCTTTGAAGCAGGATGCTTATGTCCTCACTGCTGCATTTCCATCAGCTTGTGGAATTAGGAGAGTTCTAGACATTTTCTTCTGATCCTTCCCTGTCACTGTCTGACAAGCGATGAACCCTATATTCAACTCCAAGCCTCATTCTCCTACACCAGCTAAGGTCTTCTTTCCATTCCAGCTTGAGGGCTTGGACTCTACTCACCTGTCAGAGGCACTTTACTAAAAGATTTATACACGAGGGAAGGTAGGAAAGTGAATGGCATTGGGGCTGCTATATTAAATGGAACTGCTATATTTAAAAAGATGGCTGCATTTAGGAAAACCAATAAGCTCTTTCCAGCAGGCTAATAAAAGACAGTCAGTCTCTTGTCATAGCTTAGCAAGGCAACCTCCCATATTAGACAGGCAAATGCTGGTCAAATCAAAACGTATTGCTTTCTCCTCCTTGCTTGCTCTAGAAGCCAGAGAGGGCTGTAGCCTGGACTGAACCAAGGAAGATGCCCTTATTTGGTATCTGGCAAGCAGCTTCCTGTTTACTTTGCAAAACGGGTGGTGCGCTAGGGATACTGGCAGGTCCATTGTGTTTACCCCTGTCTGATTGCATATAACCAGCGTGTTACATTATTGTTACATTACACTCTGCTTATGATGATTGATTAATGAACAGCAGAGTAACCAGTACAGTCTCCTATCACTACATAACTTTACCACTAGTATGAATTTTTGCTATGAAAACCAAGATATGATGTAATATGGTTACATGGCTTAATGCAGAGATCTTGGCAGGAGAGAGACCCAAGTTTTCCTAATGAGCACAGCAAATGTGTGTCATTCAGGCAGCCTGGCATATGGCGATCTTTCCATCGGTGCCCAATGCAGATTTTAACACATGCCAAAGACAGATTAATTTTCATTCGCGTGTTAGACTTATCCACTACTTTGGGACAATGCCCAGCAAAGTCAGAGCATCATCTGGTGAGACGACCACTCTTTTATTTTTAAATGCAATCCTTCTGCACTGCTACAATATTTCTGGTTGTGTTGGTTTTATATTATTGTCAATTAGTTGACTTGCTACTAAACCCAATTGGATCCTGTCTAATCACTGCAGCTGTAGCATTCTAAAGGAAAAGCAGGACTATGTGGATTGCTTTGGGCATGATGGATTCTGATTCCCCCTCAGATTTCATTTCTTTGATTCCAAAAGCAGGGCCAGCTCCAGGCACCAGCTTAACAAGCAGGTGCTTGGGGCGGCCAAGGGAGAGGGGCGGCACCTGCGGCAATTCGGGGGCGGCAGGTCCCTCACTCCCTCTAGGAGCGAAGGACCTGCCGCTGAACTGCCGCCAACGATCGTGGCTTTTTTTTTTTTTTGCTTGGGGCGGCAGAAATGCTGCATATCCACTAAAATGAGAAAAACTGTACCAAACGGCTTATTAGAGTGTGCTGTCTCTCCCCTATATCCGACCTGAGGGAGGCTGAAGGAAGGTGCTTGGAATGTAACAGAAATTGAAACCCATCTAGAAAATCCGTTCCTGTCATAATACATCTGATATATGTGCCGTCTGTCATTTTGTGTATTCATTTGAATCAAGCTAATGGACTGGTTCTTCTCTAAAAGGGTGAACTTGTTGCTTATCAAGTTGTCTTAGTTACACATAAGACCAGCGTGTTGCAGCCCTGACAGCTAAAATGGTTCTAATTTTACCAGAGGATTGTTCTTTTGCACACGCATGCTAACATCATGCGTTCTAGCAGCGTGACCTCTTGGAGCATTGTTCATATCACAGGCAGGAAAACAGGCTCATTTTAGCTGTCATTGCTGTTCACCGTCTTGATGCCACTGTTTTGACTTTCTCAATTATTTGTGTGCATAGTATAAGCAAACATCATAACTTGCTCTTGTTGGTAACCAAAACTCTAGACATAGAGCAGTGTGTGTATTACAGAAAATATATGACAGTGTGGTACGGTGCAAAGGTTTTATTAGTGTCCGTCTAGATTGGCAGCCAGTGGAGGCACAATGAGAAAATAAAATCAGAGTGAAACCAATTTACCTTCTTCCCAACTGTGTGTGTGTGTGTGTGTGTGTGTGTGTGTCATTCGCAGCTGTTCATTTGTTAGACTGGCCTTCCCAGGTGAAGGATGCATGCAAGGACAGCTGCTCCAGTATCCCAGTGGGCACAGTGCATACAGCCATGTTCCACTGGGGGCTCCGAGACAGCAGCAGTAGCAGGACCTCACTGCACAGCCTGGCAGCCACTTCACTTTCAGAAGTGCCCCTAATGAATGAGCACTTCATGCCTGTAGAGCTAGGGCAAATTGCAGTGACCCCCTCTAGAACTCTGCCCCAGAGCCGGGAAGGGCAGTGTCATTTGGGTCAGCCCTGACTCCAGGCCAGTAGAACTTTTCTGTCAAACCAAGCTGTCATGTAATTCATTGATCCCCCATATTTTACAGGAAAATTCTTTCAACTATGTTACAGAGAGCTTTAAATACAGCCAGATTGTCTTGGTCTAACTCTGCAGGCCTTGGAAAATTACAATTCAGACTCCGAGAACAGGAGTACTTGTGGCACCTTAGAGACTAACAAGGTGCCACAAGTACTCCTGTTCTCTTTGCAGATACAGAATAACACGGCTGCTACTCTGAAACATGAATTCAGACTCACTCTCCTAGAGTCTGGAAAAAAAACCAACCCCTCTTTATTCCCTAAAATAACTTCTTTCTAATCCATACGTTCTGATATTCAGCATCTGATATCTCAAAATCCACCAGCTCCAGAATGAAAACAAGCACTCTATCCTGTTGGAAGCTGGAGTGATCCCCAGCTCACCCATGTAAGAGAGCTTGTGTTTCTAATCCTATTGGAGTTCCAGGAATATTGGACTTTATACTTGTCCTTTAAATCTGCATATTGCCGCCCTGCACTTCAGATCCATTGAATTTTGTAGGGAAATGAGACCCTTTAGAAGGGGAAAAGAAACAAATTAGGGGCAGGCTTTATATTTTTTAATTGAAGCTTTCTGAAGTTGCTCGGGATGGGGCAAGAGGGGAGTTTAAAATGTGAGTAGTCAGGACACGCATGGATTACTGTGCAGAATCCAGGGAAGGATATTGCTGATAAATGCAGTTTATCACGTGGTTTGCTCAGTTCATCACATTGAAATCACCACCGTAGTATCTGGGGTATAAATGTGTATATGTTTTTATATAAGCTTATGCTGTTAGAAAACTCTGTGGCGTGAAGTTGGTGCACAAGAATGTAGGAAACGCTCTTGCAGATTTTGATCTTTCTTTTTCTCTTTCCCCTCCCATTTTCTTTTTCTTTCCGTTGTAATCCCCTAACATTTGTCCCACTTCCTTGAAGAAGAAATGGGTAAGCACAGCTCACTGCTTTCCGTAGCACTGAGAAATAGAGTGATGAAAAGAAAAAAATGATGAAAAGAATTATGTTGACAAGAAGAGAGACAGTAATAACAATACATGTACTTGGAGTTAAGTTAAAATTGATTGTAAATGCTGCCTTTTGCATGGTACTATAGTAATTTTTGTTTGCTCTTGCTAGCATGCAAATTACTACTTCAGTAGCGGTAGCCAGCATTTTACTCCACAAAGAGCATATTAGAGATTGGAGGAGTGGGGACAGGAATATTAGAGATTGTAGCTCACTTGGAGCTTGAATTTATGGGCTGGATCATATCAGTGAAACAAGGGGACTCTGCTTTGATAGGGTCTCTCACTAGCATGTAGAGGCACAGGTGATTAATGGATACATTTCCTTTTCTTAAAAATAAGAAGAATCGTCTACATGATTAGCCACAGTACAATCTGTGTTCATTATTTCTTTAAAAAAAAAACAACACACCCTTGTGAACAAAATTTTGGCTTTTGACCGTGTTCTTATTTATGAATGTATTGTTGTTTTAGTTTACATTCTAGTGTTCTGAGAAATGACCCAGGATCCAGACGATCGAGTAGCTCCACAATGTTGGATGGAGGAAACCTTGGAAAATTTGAATTTGAGATCACGGATTTCTTCCTGTTTGGGTCTCCCTTGGGCCTGGTCCTTGCATTGAGAAAAACCGTCATCCCAGCCCTTGACAGTAGGTTTTGGCATGCACCAGTGGTTCCACTTAGTGGGCATTTTAAATACCTTCTACTACAAAAAAAGAACAGGAGTACTTGTGGCACCTTAGAGACTAACAAATTTATTAGAGCATAAGCTTTCATGGACTACAGCCCACTTCTTCGGATGCATATAGAGTGAAACATATATTGAGGAGATATATATACGCACATACAGAGAGCATGAACAGGTGGGAGTTGTCTTACCAACTCTGAGAGGCCAATTAAGTGAGAGGAAAAAAAAAACTTTTGAAGTGATAATCAAGCTAGCCCAGTACAGACAGTTTGTAGTTTCTACTACAAAAAGCTTTGACTTGCAAAGAAAAAATCTAATAACTTGGATGAGATGAACTGTAGAACATATTGTGAAACTAAATTATATATGTGTTGTTCCACCATACAAGTCAGTACTAGCTACTCCTATAAATATTGATTACACATTTTTTGTCATTTAGCCCTAGACAACAAAAATCTAAACATATGCAGCAAAAAACTATTTAGTAAAGTATGTTCCACAGAAACATCAGTTGTCTTGCTTGACTTACAACTGGAGTGTGATGGAAGTAAGCGCTCTTAAAGGGCTTTCCTCCCCCCTCATGCTGCACTTTACAACTAGTAAATCACCTTTTAAATAGATTTATACGAGCCTCACAAATAACTTTGTAATACTTGGGAGTTTCTTTTTTCCCTCCTTTTCTCCTTAGTCTTTCAGCTGAGGCCAGCCTGCCAACAAGTCTATAACCTGTTCCATCCTGCAGACCCATCTGCCTCACGCCTGGAACCCCTTTTGGAAAAGAGATTCCACATGTTGCCTCCCTTCAATATTCCACGCTACCAGAGGTTCCCATTAGGTGACGGCAGTTCTGCTCTTCTGGGTACGTCCGTTTTTATCTGTTATCTGCCTATGGCCCAAAGACTGTGCCATTGGCGCAGATGCTGAGGTCAGGGGGTGTTTTAACGATGTGAGGTGCACAGGCTTGGCCTCGTAGTGTTTAGCTTCTTCAGAAAGTTCCCAGGCAAGTGGATTTCTCTTTACAAATTCAATGCTTCACATCCAAAATGCCATTGTTGTCATTTATTAAATAAAGCCCAGAAGTTGTGTGAGTCGATATGCAATGTACTTTGTATGTTTTCTCCATTTTACATCCCAGGCAGTGCTTGAGATTGGAACACATGATCAGCTAGGCTGAGATTTAGGGACTTGATTTTTCAGGGGGTTGAGGAGGACTGGGAGGGAGCAGAGCAAAGCCACGTAAGGGATGCAGTTTGCTTTTTTGCACACAATCCATATGGGTGAAGCAAGCTGAGGGGACTGGGTGTCTGAGTACCATTAGCTATGCACGGCACATTCTGTTGAAATGCTGCTGCATATTTTGCCCATGCAAATGGCTCAAATAAGAGAGCAGTGCTCAGAAAGCCCATTTTCAATTCTTGTAATCTACCTGTATGTAAGCCAGCAGTTGGAGACCTCTTTCAGCCTAAGAAACTTGTCTATAGTGAACTCCATTCATAGTAAAAAGCAACAGAGGGTCCTGTGGCACCTTTAAGACTAACAGAAGTATTGGGAGCATGAGCTTTCGTAGGTAAGAACCTCACTTCTTCAGATGCACTTCTGCAGATGTCTTGGAAAGCTTATGCTCCCAATACTTCTGTTAGTCTTAAAGGTGCCACAGGACCCTCTGTCGCTTTTTACAGATTCAGACTAACACGGCTACCTCTCTGATACTTGACTCCATTCATAGTGAAATCACATGCAAGGCCCTGATTATTACAGTGCATCTCAGTGTGCAAATTTAAAATCTTATTGAAGTAAATCTCCACTTGTTTTGGGGAATAATTTTCTCACTTTAAGAAGATTCCATTATATATACTGTAAAATTATGATCAGTGATCAATTTGAAAAGCTACATTGGAGGATTTCCTTTTATTTTGTTGTAAAATTGCCATTCCTGTGTTTTCTTCTGATGTTATAACTGTTTTAACTAGTAAGGCACTGAATTTAGGCTTATTTGGAAGACCATCTGTCTTGTCTTCTATTTCTCTAATGGAAGGTTGGTCCTTTATAGAAGACCCTGAACTGTAGTTGCAAGTGTTTGATTGTAGTTGTTTGTATGTTTTACAGTTTGTGGCCACATGTTGGTTGTTCTTGTCCTTTTGTTTTCTTCCCCACCTGCTTCTAGTTGAGACAGTCCAGAACAACCCCATCCTCCTTGTGGAAAGCAGCCCATTGGTTGCTCTCCAGCGCCAGGACAGCTTCATGGAAACCAGTATACCTGTTCCAGTTCTGAATTGGCAAGATGTTTCCAATAAAAATGCCGTTTTTGCTGAGTGTGTGTAACCTACCCTTTTCTAGTGTCTTGTGTTGTGTACTTGGGGTGCTCCTTGGAGATTGGTCTTCTACCTCATGGGCCTGAAAGCTTTGCACTATGTACCTGAATATGACAAGTGAAGTGCCTGCATAACCATGTATTCTTGGACCCCAGGCAAGAATGGGACCACAAGCCACTGACCGGGGGTGGTGGAAACTGAGCTGTGAGTTGTCTCCCCTTCTGCTGCAAATGCTGGAAGGGGAGATTGGGGCCAGACAATGAGTTTGCTTTTCCTCTGGTCGAGCTACTGGAGAGGCATCGAGTGGCCGAAAGGCTCCGGGCCCCCACGCTTGCTTTGCTTTTGCTTGAGGCCTGCCCTGCTGTTACAGTTTATGCAGTGTACAGAATCTGCCATTGAAACTGACACCTGGTTTTTTGCCTGCAGTACCCAAAGTTTGCCAGTGCAGTCAGCACGTAACTACAAATTAACATACTCTGTATTGTATGTCTGTACCAGAAAGTGACCAGATATTGTCACATGCCCAAAGGTGCACATCTTATATTTAGACACTAATTTTGCATCATCTAAACACAGTGGACAAAGCTTTCAGAACCCAAAGGTGTCTTTTTTTATTTGATTTCTCAAATAATTGCTGCTTTAAAAACAAGTTTGGTTTTTGTTGCTATCAAAAATGCTGCATGGCTATATTTTTCTCGATTACAGCTGATACCAAATCTGCAAGTTAATGAGACTTTCAACTTTATTTCTTTTCTCCTGTATATTTTTTTTTACTCTTCCCACCCCTTTTAAATATGCCCCCTGGAGATCCTGATCCTGCAGCCCTTACTCATGTCAGTCAGCTCTTATTGGTCTGAGTAACCCCATTGTGCTGAGTGGTAATTTCGGAACAGCAGCACCTCCCATTGGTTACATTGGATAGAAGATGACACAGGGAGAGATTTTCAAAGGTACAGATGGATGTTAGGTGCCCAATTGCCATTTGTGCCTTTTGAGGTTCTCTAGGAAGGGCGGGGGAAAGGACACTACAGTATTGCCTACCATCGCTTTCCACTTCACTAATGCAGGGTCACTTAGCCTTCATCCCATGTTAGCTGACTGACCATGACTATGCATACAAAAAACTCTTCTCCCATCCCCCATCATCTCAAGAGTGTCATGTGGCCTAGTTGTGCCCATATCTGACTCTACGAATGGAGCAGCAGATGAATTTTCAGGACTAATAAAAAGGTGCTTCAGCCTCTTTTTCTGTTGCTTTTGAAATTAAGGATGGGATTTTCCAACGCACTCAGCATTGGCCACCGACTTCAGTGGGAGCAGAGTTAGGTCAATGCTGAGCATTTAAAATGCCACCCCAATTTTTTGTTTTAACTGCTGAAGAGCTCTTTGCTTCAATGGCACAATGCAGCCTATGTATTCCTTTGCAGGGTACCGTGCTGCATTGAAACAGCCTGTTTCCTGATGGCATGCAGCCCTGACACCCCAGGAACTTAACCCAATGCCACTGATGCATTAGACAGCCCGATGCTGGTCATTTGGTGGGAAGCAATTACTGAGCGCACTGAAAAATACGTCTTAAAATGAAGAGTTGGGGCATTTGAATTTGTATTAAAGCTCCACTGCCCAGAGTTGGGAGAGGAGAGGATTTTCCTCTCTCCCCACCCTTTGCTCACTTTGGAACTACATTAGAACTTGGCTTATTCTCACTGCATTCATCTACACACTCTGCAATTCACACAAGCAAAGGCAATTTCACACAACTTCTCAGCAAAGCTCTACTAGCAGAGGTGGTGCTACAGTGTGAGATCTCCTGTTTCTAAGTCTTCGTTACTCAAACAAATCTTTACCACACAAAGTGCATTTAGGCCAGCATAGTCAAACGGACCTAAATCCGTATCCAGAGACCTAAATAAGTGGCCTGGTTTTCCAAGGAGCTTGTCACCTCCTACTCCCATTATAGTTACTTATGCATCTAACTTTAGGCTCCCCAGTTTGAAAACATTGGCCTTAGCACACAGTTAAAGTTATCTTATTTAGAACTAAATTGCACCCGTCAAGTTAAATGAAAGTATGACCTTTTGTTGCTGCATTATCCTTTTTTAAAACTGTGCAAAATGTTAGTGATTTATACTGAGCGAATTGTAATGCAGTGAGTCTCCCAGTCACTTGTGTGAGTAAACGAGGTTCTCTATTGAACAGCCTAAGGTTTAATTTGCAAATCACTTTCAATATAGATTTGGGATTTCGGAATACTCGACAGAAGGGGTAAATTGAGAAGCCTACGTTTTCTAGACACATTTTTGTCTCTTGTGTTTCCTGTCCCGTATTTTCCCTGGAAACAGCTCTCTGTTATAGAATTGAGGGCTCATCGTTTGAAAAGGGGGGACTCTGTCACTAAAAAAGGGAGAGATTCTGGAGGTTTAAGAAAATATGAAAGCAGATATAATTAAGGCCGCATGAGGGAGCACTGCTGTCAGAGCCAATAGACTCCCTTTATCTGCACGTAGAGTGTTGAGCTCAATAGTGGTGTAACATTAAAAGCTTAGACATTTATATGAATGAGAATAGTCTGTGGTGACACCAGCTAGGACGATATCAAAAGGGCTGTCGATCTTCCTGCTTCAGACCCAGTATTGCCAACCTCAAGCATTCAAAAATCATGAGTCAGCCCCAAAAAATCATGAGATTTTTCTTTTCATAATTTGTTTTAAAATTTGCATCCAGATTTGTAAGCCTTTAGTGTGGCCTCACATCACATTTCCCAGCTTTCTAGCCCTCCTGGTTGTGGAGAACACTTGCTTTTTTATGTTACATGAAAGCCGAAATTCTCCTGCAATCTCTGATTCCAGCAGCTGGGGCTCTGAGGAAAAAAAACCAGATATTGTAAGAGTTGGCAACACCAAATGCCAAGAGGCTGCCATTTTGGATCACTCTTGCCACGTAGCTTTTGAGCTACACAAGTGCTGCAGCACTGTCACCACTAGGTGGAGCTCTTGTATTGGCATGGTTGAAAGTTGGTCCTTGCTCCCTATTACTGCCGGCTGCAGTTGGGATGGGAGAAAAAGTGCCCCCCAACCCCTTGTGTGTGCCTTGCGGGTTAAGTCATTTCCTCCAAGGCATCTGGCATTGGTGTAGGTGTCAGGATACCAGACACACTGGATCATTAGTCTGATCAGTAGTCTGTTTTGCTGCAGCAATTCTTTAAATGTTTACAGCCTGGCAAAACCTCCTGAAAATAGGGTTCCACCCATGCTTTCTCTGCACATCTTTGATTGTGGGCCTGATCCTGTGAGGCATGGAGGTCCACAATGCAGGTAGCTCAATAGGGAGCTGTACAAATGCCACTGACGATAAGAGTGTGGAGACTTGAATAGGATCCACCTCTCTGGCCTGGTGTTCACTAGGGAAAAATGGTTGAATTTAGGCTGGGTGTAGCTAAAACGTGCTAGCTAGGCCCGAGCCGAACTCGACCTTTTTCCCCCTAGTGTAGGTGCAAGGTAAGATCTTGAAATTGAACTGTTTAGCTAGGCTGCAGCTCAAGCAACTGAAATTGAGCTCCGGATGTTAGGCTATATCTGCACTGGGGAAAAGATCAGGCTTAGCTAGCACATGTTAGCTGAGCCCAACCTAAACTCAGCGCTTTTGCGAGTCAGGATAAAGTCTCTGAGTCTGAGGGGTTGTACAGCTGAGCTCTGCTGTGTGTCTGCTGATTTAATGGAGAGCTGTTCCCATCACACACATTCCAGGCCCTGCTGCTATATCACTCTGTGTTATAGGAGGGCTGTGGGCCCCATAAGGCATTGTAAAAGCACATGGTAAGAGGCCCCTGCCCCAGAGCACTTACAATCTAATAGATAAGCCAGACAAAGGCTAGGAGGGGAATCAGGTGCAGAAAGGGGAAGTGACATGCTCAGGGTCGCACAGCAGATTAGTGTCAGAGCTGGAAATAGAGCCCATGACACGTGTCTCCCACTCCAGCGTCCCTGTCCACTGGACCACACCAGATCTCCATTCAGTTCCGAACTGTAATCAGCTCCCATGCTTGACTTGTGCCCCTTTCTGGAATGTGGCTTCAGTGTGTTTCCTTTCTATAAATCTTTTATTGAAGGAAGTGCCAGTAGGAGCATGAGACTGCTGCAAAGCGTGGCACGGTGAGACAAGCTGCAGTACAGATGCTGTGCAGCAACCTTGATAGCTGGCAGCTCAAGGCAAAATGGAAAGAGGAAGGAAGTGAGGGGAGCGTACATCAGAGGAGAGGGTGACACTAGCAGAGGCCTTTCAGGCTTAACTCATACAGTGTATGAAACACAAAGTATCAGGGTCAGACTCCAACTGGGCCCTAGACACTGACAGTCCATATGGCTTTAAGTTGATCAGCTTGTAGCCTTTTTTTCCTGCAGAGCACTGAAATGATTTTACCAACATTTAAGTCCATGTTCTACTACTTTCAGCCATTCTCTTTCCCGTCAGAACGGCATAGTTCACGTCAGTTGTATGCCAGAGCCTGTGTTAACTGCAGGCATCTAAGAAAGTACAAATGTTTGGAGTTCCAGTTAGCAAGTCAGTAGCACTAGGCATATGGGCTTCTCGGATCAATATTTAGATGACTCATTTGTGCGCTTGCTAATACAACACCAGACTGACCACATCCAAGTATATTTAATTTCCGGTTAGATCATTTCCCACACAGTTGAAATAAATAATTTACAGTAGGGCTGTCGATTAATAGCAGTTAACTCACATCATTGACTCAAAAAAATTAATCGCTATTAAAATTTTAATAGCGATTAATCACATTTTTAATCACACTGTTAA